GAGCCACAACATGGTGTAGGGTTTCCTGCCTAAGCAGGGGTTGGACTAGAAGACCTCCAAGGTCCCTTCCAGCTTTGTTAAATTATTAAAAACTCCTGTAAATTGACTAGCACTATTTCATCTTACATAGATTATACAGACACCATAAAAATGCCCGGTAAAATTGAGATTAAAAGAGAGACCATCCTTTTGTGCGCAAGGCATATGAGACGAAATGGTAATAAAATGGGGAACAAAACTACAAACATGTTTTCAGGAAGGGGGAGAAGATCGGGCTGCCCCCTCCCCATCCTCACCTCCATCCCCAGGCACTGGGTTCGGGAGTCTGATGGAGTGCTTGGCACAGGGAGGCGACGGGATGGTTGGCTTTTAAATTGTTTTTTTTTTTTGAAAAGGCACTCTGCTCCGATTCTCTTGGCCACTCAGCGTTCCTTCCGGTAAACAGAGGGCTAGGATAAGTCTTGTTTTTATGAATAAATCATGACTAATAATAGAGAGAGATTTCAAAACAAAGGGACCACCTGGTACATCACCCCACATTTTGGCTCTGGCCCCGTTTCAGTTCTGGGAAGAAGGCCTACCCCGACGGTGGAGTGAAAAGTTTGACCGGAGAGAGGATGGATGGAGGAAAGAAAACCCTTATCTGCAGGAGAAAAGAGCTCTTGTGGTTTTGCCTGGAAATGCAGAAACGGGTCTTGCAATAATGCGACGGTTCTCGAATGGCAACCACGATGGCGCCCAAAATTTATGTTGCTATGCGTAACATAAACCAAAAGAGCCTTGGTAGTACAGTGGTCTAAAGCACCCTGTTATTAAAACCAGCTGCCTGCAATTATTGCAGGCTCGAATCTCGCCAGGCTCAAGGTTGACTCAGCCTTCCATCCTTTCTAAGGTAGGTAAACGTAAAAGGGGGGGGGGGAATCACAGGAACCCCGGGATCCTGCAACTGTCACAAATCTGAGTCAGCTCTCAAGCATCCGAATGTAAACCGCAACGGACGTAAGTATGAAAATGATCGTAAATCACCTTTCTCCAGTGCCGTTGTTAAGCGAATCTGGCTTCCCGCATGGACTTTGGCTTGTCGGAGGGAATCACGTCCCCCCCAGGGACACAGCAACCGTCATAAATACAAACCAGCAGTGGTCGTAAAGATGAAAAACAGTCAGGTTTCCTTTTTCCAGGGCCTTTGTAACTTCGAACCGTCGCTAAATGAATGGAGGACTACCTCAACTTGCAATTCTCCAACATCTGCCTTTCAAGGAATTCAGGAATCAGTCTGGCAATTGCTTTGCGTCAGGGTGAAATGCTACCAGATTGGACTGGATCTGCTGATCCGGTAGCGATGATGGCCGGTAGTTCGGAGAACCCGTAACAATGGCAGCTGGAGGCTCCACCCACCCGCCCCATTCCGCGGAGTCGGGGAATGCACCGTTTCCCGATTCTGGCCTTGCCCTGGAGCCGCTGCCTGCTCGCCTTTCGCCACGCGGTGTATCCTACTGCTCACCTTTTTCCTGCGGCTGGCTATCAGAGAAGGCAAGTGCCCGAAAGTTACTGGAGTCGCTCACTCTCCTTCTTGAATGAGCCGCCACCATCGCCGCTCCGGTCCATGTGCCAGCTGCGCAAGCTCACTCCGTTTATTTAATTCTCTCATCAGCGGCAGGTTGGGTGTGTGCTGGCGCAGCCGGCGCGTGGACCAGAGTGGCGATGGTGGAGGCTCATTCAAGGAGAGTGAGTGACTCCGGTAACTTTTGGGCACTTGCATTCCCTGACAGCCAGCCGTGGGAGAAAGGTAAGGACACGCTGCTTGGCGATGAGAGAGCGGGCAGTGGCTCTGGGGCAAGGCTGGTATCGGAGAATGGTGCATTCCCCGACCTGGTTGAGGCAGGCGACGAGCAGGCGGTGGCTCCGGGGCCCCAGGGAATGGCACATTCCTGGGCAATGGCCCCCGACCCAAAGCGAAGAGAGAACGGGTGACGAGTGGGTGGCAGAATAGAAATTTAAAAAGTTTTCCTACCAGGTTCTGTGGGTGTGGCTTGGTGGGAGGGGGTCTTGTGACTGAGTGGGCATGGCTGTGAGTGACATCGAGTTGGCCACGCCCACTCAGTCACAGGACACCCACCACCACCAAGCCACGCCCACAGAACCCGTAGGGAAAAATTTTAGATTTCACCCCTGCTTTGCGTGCTTCAAATGTATGCTGGGCTTGTGCAAAACTTGGCAAGGATTGTAATCTGTAACAGATTAGGCGAAACCTGGCTCAAAAACAGGAGCTGTGCGAGGGACCTTGGAGTCCCAGTCGACAATCAATTAAATATGAGCCAGCCGTGTGCAGCAGCAGCCAAAAAAGGGAATACGATCCTGGGTTGCATAAACCGAGGCATAGAATCAAAATCACACGGAGCCTTAGTACCGCTTTATAAAGCTTTAGTAAGGCCACAGCTGGAATATGGCATCCAGTTTTGGTCGCCACATTACGAAAAAAAAAAAGAGGTCGAGACTTTGGAAAAAGGGTAGAGAAGAGCAACTAAGATGATTAAAGGCCTGGAGACTAAAATATATGAAGGACGGTTGCAGGAATTGGGTCTGGCTAGTCTAGAGAAAAGGAGGACTAAGGGATGACATGATAGCAGTCTTCCAGTATTTGAGGGGCTGCCCCAAAGAGGAGGGGGGTCAAACTATTCTCCAAAGCACCGGAAGGCAGGACAAGAAGCAACGGATGGAAACTGATCAAGGAGAGAAGCAACCTGGAATTAAGGAGAAACTTCCTAACAGTGAGAACAATTAACCAGTGGAACTCCTTGCCTCCAGAAGTTGTGGGTGCTTCATCACTGGAGGATTTTAAAAGACTGGAAAGTCACTTATCTGAAAGGTTATAGCAGGGGGTTGGACTAGAAGACCTCCAAGGTCCTTTCCAACTCTTGTTATTCTGTATTCCCAGCACCCGCCTCCCAGGAGACCAGGAATTTCGCAACTTGCAATTGTCTGTGTGCTTCAAACCTATTCTGGATGATGCAAAACTTGTCCAGGATTGTAATAGTTCGATTTTTAAGACTCAAAATGTTACACACTCCTTCCAACTGGGAGCAACCCTCCTTACCTTCTTTATTTTTCCCCCTCCTAAACATATTTAAGTGTACAGTCTCTTATCCATCATTAATCATTAATCATTCATCTTATCCTTTAACTTTCATTTTTATTTGTTCGGGGCTGCTCTTTTACCATTTCCTCTTCTTCGTTTTACCACAACTTTTCCTCTTCTTTTTTTCTTCTGTCCCTTTTCTTTCTTCATTCCTCCTCTCCTCCCCTTCAATACTTCCCCTCCCCTCCTCTCCCCCCACTCCTCTCTTCTTCCTCCCTTTCTAACCCTCTCCCCTACTCTTCTTTCCCCTCCCTTTTCTCCCTCTCTTCCATCCTTCTCTCTTCTCCCCTCCTTCCCTCTCTCTATGCCTCTCTCCTTTCTCACTCCTTTGTTGTATCCATTTTCCATTTAATCTAGAATGGTATTCCAGCAGCCCCGATTTTCTATTTACATATATCTTCATTTCAGATTCTTTTTTGTTTAATAATTATATTAAATTATAATTATAATAATCTGCTTGTCATTCATGTACACTTTTATAATAACACTTTTCCTCTTCCCCCCCTTTTCCCTTTCCCTAGGCGTCATCTGAGTTTCTATTCTTTTTATTGTCTTTTCTCTTATTTGTCTTTTCCCTATCGACTTCCTCTCTCTTTATTTACATTTCTTTTCTAACCAATCATAAAAACTTTCCCCATGTCTTGAAATACATCGATTCCTCTTTATCTTTTATTCTCCATGTTAATCTATTCATTTCTGCCCTCCTTACCTTCTTGAAGTGGATCTACTCTCTGGTGTTGCCAACAGGTGAGACGGAACCTTAGCCAAGTATATTCTGGCCCCAGTCGGATTAATTTATCTTTCAAATCCTGTGACTTCTTCTGGCCTCACATGCATGCCATCAAATCCAGTGAAACTCACAAGGATCTATGGACAGGTTCTCCATCATCCAGGTCACTGTTGTCCCAAAAGTGCTTTTTCAGGAGGCAACTGAGCTTTCTTGCTGGAGTCGGTGTGGGAGTAGGAATGGATTTCCAGAGGAAAAACTGCAGCCTGCAGGAACCAAGAGCACCACTCAGGTGACCCTGGGGACACAGAGAAACTCTCTGCAGTGAGCCCTATGCAGATCTGTATGCTGGGGAAACAAAACAGCCACTTCACAAACGCATGGCACAACCTAGGAGAACAAGCCCATCAGGAGTAGATTCAGCAGTCCATCTGCATTTGAAAGACAAAGACCGCTCTTTTGAAGACAGCAACGTTCACATTATCGACACACAGGATCGCTGGCTTGAAAGAGGGGTCAAAGAGGGCATCTGTGTCAAAATTGAACTGCCCTCAGTCAACAGAGGGGGAGGGATACGACATCACCTACCTCCAGTCTACAACACAGTCCTTTCAGCAGTTTCAAGAAGGCTCCACCCCCATTTGCACCACTCAGGTGACCCTGAGGACACAGATAAACCTCCAGGTGGCCTCAACGACCCTCTAAAAGGATGTAAATGACCAGCTGTCTGCAAGGAGTATAAATCCTTCCCTTCCCCACTATCCTGTCAGAGCTGAAGAAGCTTCTTGGATGAGAAGCGAAACATCTTCAAAAGAAAAAAAGGAGAAAGTCCAGTTGCCTCCTGAAAAAAAAAAAAAAAGCACTTTTGGACTATCGAAGAGGTTTCGCTTCTCCTCCGAGAAGCTTCTTCACTTCTGAAGTCAAGTTGAATCGCAGAACCGAACTGAATAAGCTCTCTCGGAGGAGAAGCGAAACCTCTTCGAAAGAAAAACCAGAAAGTCCAGTTGCCTCTTGAAAAAAAGAAAGAAAAAAAAAGCACCTTTGGGAGAACCGAAGGAAAGGATTCGCACCGGAAACTCCCCAAAGGACCAGAGATCAACTTTCAAGGTTGAGCATTTATTGTGGAAGATCCAGGAACCCGTTTGGAGAAATAAATAACAAGAGGGGAGAAGGTTTCAAGTCATTCAGGATGAGGGGGCGGCCTGCCCCGTCTCGGTTTCTAGGACACTCTGTTCAAGCCCTCCTTGGCCCCGGGACGGTGGAGGTAGAGCAGTTCCAGGCTGACGGCCTCGGATTCGGCGTCGGATCGCACCTGTTTCCGCCGCCGTGCGCGACACAAAGTGTAGAAGGTACAAAAGGCCACGGGTCCCAGGCCCAGCAAGATGGCCACGATCAGGAGCAGAAGACGCGCGTCCCCCAAGGCGAAAAGCCCTCTGCGGGGCAGGTAGGAGAAGGAGGGGGAGCGCGGACAGGTGTGGGTGCGCCCCTCGTAGGTGCTGTGGGACGGGCAGGCGCTGCAGTTGTGAGCCGACCCTGCCAGGCAGGTGTAGCAAGAAGGGTCGCAGGCGGCACAGGCTTCGATGGTGGCGCGGGGTCCCGTTGGGGTGGAGAGCCGGTTGGGACAAGCGGTAGTACCTGGGCGGACAGTAGGAGAGGCAGAGGTGCCGGACTGCGAGGAGAGGGCTGGGGCATTCTGGGGGAGGGGAAAAAGAGGAGGCGAAGGAGGGGGGAGGAGGAAGGGGAGGAGGAAGAGAAGGAAGAGGAGGAGGAGGAGGAGGAAGGGAGGGGAGGAAAAGGAAGAGAAGGAGGAGAAGGAGAAGGAAGGGGAAGAGGAGGAGATGGACAAGGAGGAGGAGGAGAAGGGGAAGAGAAGGAAGAGGAGGAGGAGGAGGAGGAAGGGGAGGAGGAAAAGGAAGAGAGGAGGAGGAGGAAGGGGAGGAGGAAAAGGAAGAGGAGGAGGAGAAGGAGAAGGAAGGGGAAGAGGAGGAGATGGACAAGAAGGAGGAGGAGAAGGGGAAGAGAAGGAAGAGGAGGAGGAAGAGAAGGAAGAGGAGGAGGAGGAGGAAGGGGAGGAGGAAAAGGAAGAGAAGGAGGAGAAGGAGAAGGAAGGGGAAGAGGAGGAGATGGACAAGGAGGAGGAGGAAAAGGAAGGGGAGGAGGAAGAGGAGGAGGCAGAAGGGGAGGAGGAAGAGGAGGAGGAGGAGAAGGAAGACCATGAGGCAAGGCAAGAAATGTCTAAATCTGATAAATCAATAAATAAAATTAATAAACAAGGAAGGATGAGAAACGACTGGCTGAGTTTTGCTTTTAAAATACAGGAAATCCTTGCCTTAACGATGTTACGACGTCATTGAGAACAGGGACTTGGGCCCGTTTTTCACACTTAAGGACCATCACAGCATCCCCACAGTCACGTGATCAGGATTCAGATGCTTGGCAACTGACTCACATTTATGACGGCGTCGGCGTCCCGAGGTCACGCCATCCCCTTTTGAGACCTTCTGACCAGCAACGAAGAAAGCTAGGTTCGCTTAACGACCGTGTGACTAGCTTAACGAGCGCAGTGATTTCAGTTAATGACTGCGGCAAGGAAGGACGTAAAATGGGACAAAAGAACTATCTCGCTTAGCAAAGGGGCAGACAAAAGTAATCTATTCATGTGCAGATAGTCCTCGATTTACGACCACCATGGGGAGGCAGAATTTCCGTTGCTGAGCATGGGGTTGTTAAGAGACTCCCTGTTGTGGTCCGCTGGCGGCCTGCGGAGCTGCCAGCAGAGTCGGACAGTGAGGAGGCTGGGGAGGAACAATGGCCAGTCCTGGAGTCTGAGGAAGCCTCGGACGTGGGCTCTGCATCGGAGGCAGAGAAAGGGCCATCTGGGAGGTACGTGCTGCCTCTGGAGCCTCCAAAGTCTGACGTCAGTGAGGCAGAGGAACAGGGGGAGCCTGTTCCCAGTGTGCACATGCGCAGAGCTGCCAGGAGGCCAGAACAGTTAAAACAAAAGGGACGACTCAGGAGTAAGGCTTGGAGGTGATTGGCCTCTCCCATAAGACCTAAAGGAGGAGCAAAAACACATGAGCCTTGCAGGAAGCAACTTTGTTCGTGCTGGTCGGTTTAAATTCTGAAGCTCCGTTTTGACTCTGTGCTCCGTGTGGCCTTGCAAAACTAATTGGCAATTAGGTCTCTGGGAGCGTTTCAAGGGAGATAATGGTGGGTGCTTATTAGCCTTATCTGCCAAGAACTGTGGCAGAACTTCTGTCGGATTCTTTACAAACCATTTGGGGCTCCTCTGTGAATGAACAGATTGTGAATGAACAGGCTCTGAATGAGCAGAATTCACAGCCGTGGAAATAAAAAGAGGTTTTGGGGACTCCTTGTGTGCTTTTTAACGTCTCAGGAAGCCTCGGTCAGAGCAACTCCCATCTGATTTGACGGCCTTCCTTGCCAAGGTCGTCGGGTGAATCGCTGCGGCCGTTAAGGGAGTCGTGGGGTTGTTAAGCAAATCCAGCTTCCCCCCCATTCACGTGGTTTGTCAGAAGCCGGCTGGGAAGGTCACGACCACCATGCTGCAACTGTCGTAAGTACATGCCAGTTGCCAAGCGCTGGAATTTTGATCACGAGACCACAGGGGCTGCAAGTCCCTTTTTTCAGTCCTCTTCTAACCTCCTACAGTCATTAATGGTTGTAATTTGAAATCTACTTCTATCTGTCTTCTATCAATCTATCTATTTATCCATCCATCCATCTTCTTTCTATCATCTAACTCAACCATCTATTTATCTATTTATCTAATATCTATTTATCTATCCATCTTTCTATCATCTATCTATCAGTCAATCAATCTATCTATCTGTCTATCTATCCATCCATCCATCTTCTTTCTATCATCTATCTCAACCATCTATTTATCTATTATCTATCTATCAATCTATCTATCCATCTTTCTATCATCTATCAATCAGTCAATCTATCTATCCATCCATCCATCTTCTATCATCTATCTCAACCATCTATTTATCTATTATCAATTTATCTATCTATCAATCTATCTATCTATCTCTATCTATCATCTATCTATCTATCTATCTATCTATCTATCTATCTATCTATCTATCTATCTATCTATCTATCTATCCATCCATCCATCTTCTTTCTATCATCTTCTTTCTATCCATCTCTTATCTATCTATCTATCTATCTATCTATCTATCTATCCATCCATCTTCTTTCTATCTATCTATATCTATTTATCTCTCTATCTCTATATATCTTTCTATCATCTATCTATCTAACCATCTTTCTATCTATCTATCTATCATCATCCATCCATCCTCTGTTTCTATATCTATCGATCCATCTTTTATCTGTCTGTCTGTCTGTTTTCTATCTATATCTATCCATCCATCATCTATCTATCTATCTATCTATCTATCTATCTATCTATCTATCTATCTATCTATCTATCCATCTTCTTTCTATCATCTATCTATCCATCTTTATCTATCTATCTATCTATCTATCTATCTATCTATCTATCCATCCATCCATCTTCTTTCTATCTATCTATATCTATTTATCTCTCTATCATCTCTCTTTATATCTTTCATCTATCTATCTATATCTATCTATCTATCTATCTATCTATCTATCTATCTATCTATCATCCATCCATCTTCTTTCTATGTATCTTCTATATCTATCCATCCAACTTTTATCTGTCTGTCTGTTTTCTATCTATATCTATATCTATCCATCCATCATCTATCTATCTATCCATCCATCCATCCATCCATCCATCCATCCATCCATCCATCCATCCCATCTTTTTTCTATCATCTATCTATCTATCTATCTATCTATCTATCATCTATCTATCCATCCATCCATCCATCCATCCATCCATCCATCCATCCATATCTATATCTATATCTATATCTATATCTATATCATCATCTATCCCTCTCTGTCTCCTTCCCTCAGTATATCTCTCTCTCATTTAGAAACCACCCATCTCCCTCACAGAGGGACTCTGGACAGCGTACAAATAAAAAGTAAGAAACATAAAACTAGTCTCTGGTATCTGGTGGCACAGAGTCGCACAGGCTCAGCAACCATCAAAAAATATTAGTGGGCCATCTGAGTGATGTGCCCAAGATAAATGCCGATAGAAGAGAATAATATCTGTACTTCAGGGCTGAACTGAGAGGTCCTGGGTGCTCCCTGAGCTCGGCTGTTTTCTTGCGGACGTTTCATGACCCAGGTAGGTGACCCCATCAGCGCTCGAAGGCAGGGGGGGGGGGTGTTCTCGGTTGATATATATATATTCAAGGGGCTTGCCCTGTCAATGGGAGTGGCGTCCCCTGGGCAGTTCCTTGATTAAGCCGTTGCATCCACCACCACCACCCCACGACTCACCCTGGCACGTCCCATCACGATTGTGCCGCTCACATTTGGTCACCACGGAGGGAGCTGCCTGTCGGGCCGTCATGTCCTCATCCGTGCCGTAGAGTTTTAAGACGAAGTTCTTGAGGAGCCCTTCAGAAGGAGGCAGGGAAGGAAAGGGGTGAGGCTCCAGAGAGACAGGTTGGGCATTACAAAATCAAGGACCGTTGGCATGGGGTGCAAAGGGGCAGTTGGGACGTGGGCTCTGCATGGGGGCGGAGGGAGGCAGAGGCAGAGAAATCTACACGCACTACACACACACACACAGGGAGTCCTCAACTTACGGCCACAACTCAGCCCCAAGTTTATGTTGCTAAGTGAGATATTGGTTGAGTGAATTTTGTCCCATTTTGCGATCTTTCTCGCCACGGTTGTTAAGCGAATCATTGCACTGGTTAAGTCAGTAGCATGGCTGTTAAGTGAATCTGGCTTCTCCATGGACTTTTGATTGTCAAAAGCCTGACCCCGGGGACACAGCAACGGTCGTAAATATGAGTCAGGTGCTAAGCGTCTCCTTCCTTCTTCTCCTTTTTTAAATTTAAATTTCAAACACAAATTTTAATCTGTTTAATTATGGGGTATAGTTCTATGAATATGAAAGAAAGGAGAGAGAGGGAGGGAGGGGAGAGAGAAAGAGAGAGGAAGGAAGGAAGGAAGGAAGGAAGGAAGGAAGGAAGATAGATAGATCTGTAGCACACCTTAGGAGATTTGTAGCATAGCTGTCTGGGCAATTCTGGGAGTTGAAGTTCACACAGCCTAAAGTTCGATGAATATGAAAGAAAGGAGAGAGAGAGAGGGAGGGAGGGGAGAGAGAGAGAGAGGAAGGAAGGAAGGAAGGAAGGAAGGAAGGAAGGAAGGAAGGAAGG